GCTACTGATAGCACCAATAGGTCCCGACCAGTTGGAATCTATCAATTACGGGTGGAGGACAACCTCAAAGCCCAAGTCGAATCGCAAATCGAGGCCCTCAAAGGCAAAGAAGGTAGAGGAATCCACACGGTCGCAAGGGCAGAAACACATGAGCCATGCTTTGTCTGTGGTGGGGTGGAACATCTAGCTAAGGATTGTCCTGCTTATGGTGAAATGAGTGGGGTTTATGAGAATCAATGCAATGCCTTAGGGGCATACAACAAACCCTTTTCTAACACATACAATCCTGGCTGGAGGAACCATCCAAACTTCAGTTGGAGAGATTCTAACCAAGCACAACCATCAGGAGGACAATGGAGAACTAAGCAACAGCTGCAACCACCAAAGGCGTATTCTGCACCTCAATACAATTCGCATCAGCCAAGGAGTTCTCTTGAGAACACCTTGCAATCTTTCACGGAGGTGCAGAGTAAGACGAATCAAAAGTTTGAGTCATTGTTTACGCAAATGGTGGAGGAAAGTAAAGAAATGAAGAGTCAAATCACGAATCTGACTGGAGCTTTGGCTGTTCAAGAACGCGACAAGTTCCCTTCAGAAGCTCAGTCAAACCCAAAGGGTCAACATATGGCGCAAACCTCATGTCTCGATAATCAAAATGTTAAGGAGGTGAATGCCATTAGTGCTCGTAGTACTAAGATCATGGAAGAACCGTCAACAAGTGCCACCACTTCGAGTACTAAGGAAGTTGTCCCTGAGAAAGATGATCCAACAAATGTTCCGGTAAAGGTGCCTTTTCCCCAAGCTCTACGTCCAATTGGAAAAATACCGGAACACCAAAGTGAGATCCTAGGGCACTTGACTCAAGTGAAGATTAATCTTCCTTTGCTTCATGTTATCAAGCAAGTGCCTGCTTATGCTAAGGTTATCAAGGATCTGTGCACTATCAAAAGGAAGCACCATGTCAAGAAGACAGCATTCTTGACAGAACAGGTAAGCGCGATGATCGACCAGAAAACAGTGCTCAAGTACAAGGATCCCGGTTGTCCCACAATTTCCTGTCAAATTGGGACACATGAGTTCAGCCAAGCTTTGCTTGATCTAGGAGCGAGTGTTAACCTCATGCCATACTCTGTCTACTCGCAACTTGGTCTTGGAGAAATCAAGCCTACCTCTGTGGTTCTGCAGCTGGCTGATCGATCGATCAAGAAGCCTCGGGGGATAGTTAAGGATGTTCTGGTTCAAGTTGAGTTCTATTACCTCGTTGACTTTCTAGTCTTGGATACTCAATCCGTGGTGAGTATGGAGTCCAAGATTCTCATCATCCTCGGAAGACCTTTCCTTGCTACAGCCAATGCTCTCATCAACTGTAGGAATGGTCTGATGAAGATATCCTTTGGGAACATGACTTTGGAGGTGAATGTTTTTCACATTACAAAGCAACCACGTGATGATGACGAGTGCCACCAAACATTTCTAATTGACACACTCGTCTCGGAGGAGGTTCAGTTGTGTAGCAATTCTGATGATCTTAACGATTTCCTTTGCATTTCTGAATCTGAGAGTTCCGGTCCTTGTGAGTTGACCAACAATGT